ACAACTTTAGTACGCGGAGTATCTGGGGAGCTGGAAGATGAGAACTGGCGGCTTTGTAGTACAACTTCAGTACGTGGAGCAAGCTGTGGAGCTGGAACCTCAGAACTGGCGATTTTGTAATACAACTTTAGTACGCGGATGAGTCATCTCTCGCGGCTGCGTCATCTCTCGCGGCTGCTCTGGCGCCCCTGCAGCTGAGTCATGTCTCCCGACCACCCGGCTCTCTTGAGAGGTTGACAAATTTTGGCTACTTTGCTTACTCATAAAAGTGGCTGCCACAAAAGAGTCATCGTGACGTTAGTATTTGTGTACTTCACCTTCATGACAAACGATGTTCGCTTGGAATACACGAGTCGCTTGCCATGATCGTGACGTCGTTTATACTCTCAGGTCGCCCTGTTCGTGGAAACTTCAGTGTGAAATGTACGTTCTTCAGTTCTATTTGAACCTCTTCAGCGTTGTACTTGCACAACTAAGGTTGACGTTGCGCTGCCGTTGCATCGACGCATCTACGTCTAAGCACGCTCACCTCCGCAGATCTACCTCTCCACCTCACCACACCCACACATCTGCGCATCTATATATCACATCTGTACATCCACACTGTCGCTCCTTCACATCTGTCCTGTCTTTCTTTCTTGCTTTCTACATATCTTTTCTCTCGTCTCTGTGCATTTACATCTTCGCACGCTCACATCGACAGATCTACATCTCCACCTCAATACATCTACAGATCTATATCGCGCCTGCACATCCACACTGTCACTCCTTCACATCCACCCTCTCTTTCTCTCTTTATATACATCTTTTCGACAGTGCTGGACAATTGCATGTCTCGCTCTCGGGCCAACCGTTCTCTAGTTTTTTTTGTTTTTTAAATATATTGTCAGCGGGCCACAACTTAGTAGAATCTCAAGCCGCTGACAGAGCAACTGTCACCGCCAATGGAACTTGAAGCAGCCACACAGAACAATTGACAAAGGGAGGACCAGGCAACCAAAGACCAGCGAACCAAGTGACCAACTGACCAGGCGAGCAAGGGACCAAGGCACCAGGATCTTGTTTATGAAACGAATCTATTTCTCTCTATTTTCTTTGCATGATAGGATTAATAAGGATTAATCAATTTTTCTTTTGATGCGAATCAACTGATCAACTCTTTATTGATACCTAGCCCAATCTTTGCACCCCCACAATTCCGATTTGGAAGGCAGCTGACTCTTGCTCACCCTTTCGGCTCTAGATTTTCGATGCAGTAGCTGGCTCGCTTTCAACAAACCTGTGGACGTTGTTGGACAATAATGGCAACTTCAGCATAGCCTTCTCAACTTAGCTTAGCGCCGCCACACAGGAATGCCGAGACTGTACTTTCCTCTTCTTCACACTGGGGTTCTTAGCTTAGCCCTTTTCTTCGCACTGGGGTTCTTAGCTTAGCCCCTTGCTATGAGCAATGCACAAGCCACACAGGAATGCCGAAAAAAATGTTAACCTGTTCTTCATACTGGGGTTCTCAGCCTAGCCCCTTAAGCTAGCCCCTTAAGCTTGCTATGAGCAATGAAGAAATTCTGCATAGTTGGAAGATCCACTCATGAGGAAAAATGACATGAAATGACAACTCTATTCGGTTTGGTGGAGCGGCTGGGCAATCTCCGCAACATGGATAGGACTCTTGTCGACAACCACCTGTCTTTATATTCATCTTAAAGTAAGACATAACATGACCAGTTTAAACAAACATGACCAGTTTCCTATTGCTTTTTGGATTTTCAATGATTTTACGATATTACATTATCTAGTCCAGGATGACTCTAGTTGGAAGGAGTGCGATGCGAACTGGGATGCGTACGAAGAACAGGCTGGGTGAGTTTCACAGGCAGCTCCTGAGTTAGTCTTGCCATGTCACTATGCCTAACTATGCGTTTGTTCTGCCGTGAGGAAAAGATCCAAACATCAGTGGATCCCAATCACCGCCAAAGGATCCCAGCTTCACCGCCAGCCGCTTCATAAAGCTTCTTCAAAGCGATGCTTTTCTTTGGAAACCACTGGCCCATCAGGGCCCACAGTCACAGCCGTGTCTCCCTCGACGTGCCCGCTCCACGACCCATCCACGCGACCCGCGGCGCTCCGACCGGCGGAGATTGGAGTAAGGGCTGAAGGACGCCTGGCACGGAAAGACGGGTCGGTCATGGAAGCGGCCTGGAATGCTGGCCTATGTTCCTCTACGAACAGTGGGTTGTACCGGGGTTGTGCGCTTCTATGATTGTTTCGGGGAGGGTGTATCCCATGACTAGGGCTCAGTGGATGATGGGCTACTTCGTCAACGAAAGCACCAGTCATTCCAGTCAATGAAAGCACCAGTGTGGGCTCCTGTCCAAGACTTCAGAGACCCTTGCAGGGTCGAAGAGAACATCACATTTCTTATAGCCTGGCCTGGCCTTTCGAATGAATTCGATATCAACATGTGCCAACTCGGCTTGCCAACGCAGTAATTATAATCTATAAATGCCTGGATCTTCCAACTGTCCAGAATTTCTGCCTTTTCATCTAGCAAATCAACCAATGTTCGGCCAACATTCTTATAGTTAGAAGATAGTTGGAAGACCCAAGCTGATCCAGGTGTACAGGTCGATTCTTTCAACCAATACCACTGTCCATTCTCCAGGTGTATACGTATAGGTCGCCTTCTTGGAGACACCTGAAACAAAGCATCTCTTATAATTGGTGATTTCACAGCAAATGGCACAATCCCCCAAGTTTGGTGGTTTATATTCTGGACATTTCTGAACCCCCATGATAGAAGTCATCAAAAGGCGTCAATGGTCATACACAAAAACATCTGAAGCCACTGCAATAGCGCAGCGCTCCACCCGTCCACCGTCTTCCACCGCGCCGGCCTCGCTTCCGTCCGAGTCGCTGTCCTCGTTGGTCGAGAGTCGCTCACCTGCGAGCCGGGGTTGGTGCAGGTTCCGCGGGTTCCACAGGCTCTGTGAGGCGAAAAGCGAAGAGCATGGGACACATCGGTCTGAAGAAAGTCTACCCGCCACAGAACTGTTTATTTGGGGGGTAGACAAGTTTGGTGTTCTTTTTTTGAGGCCTTTTGGGGTTGGGAGAACTCATGCCCTTTTGGTTCTCCCACGGTGCAAGAGTTCTTTTTGAAAAAACACAGTGAACGCGGTCGATCACTCGTGCAAATAGCGTTGCAACTACCTCCCACCGAAGAAATCCAACAAGGTGCACCTTGGAAGGTCATCGCCTATGCCTTCGTCGCAACGAACGACGAACTCAAAGGTGCAATCTGCACGGTCGCCGTATTGGGTGCTGACGGTATGGATCACCATACGCTCTTATTAAGTAGTTCAACTGCCCTTGAGGAGGGCCCCTCTTGCACCATCGCTTGGCTTCTTCACTCCGGCTTCCAGTCGCCCCTCGTGACCACGAGACCGGCTTCACACAGTTCCTTTTTTTTCCGGATGCCAATCCGGCTGATTTCGCCTGGTAGAAAACCAGACGTCCACTTTTCGTGGGCAACTTGCACGATCCTCCTCATATGATCCTTTGGAGTCCCTACTCGCGCTAGCGCCCCATATATGCATATGTTCCAAGCAGTGCAAACAACCACGAAAAAAAGGGTCATGTGACCAGCAGTGCATCATCCAAATGATGCAAGATGTTCAGGTAATTTGGACATGTTTATTATATATTATATGTAGTTTTCAAATAGTTTTATAGCAAATCAGGAAGATGGACAATATAAGTAATATAAGACATGCTTTTGGTTTTATGATTTCTAGAGCTAGTTACAACATGTAGATGGTTTAATAGACGTCTATAGTATACTTACAGCTGCTAAGCCGTCTCATGCATCCAAGAAGTTCACCGCCCGATTTCGGCCGCTTCGCCGCCGACTTCACGCCTTCTCCAGATCCACTGAGGCCGGAGAGGACCTGCACGGTGAGTTCGAGACTGAACTGGTAGGCTACGACTGAAAAGCATCCGCCCCCCCCGCGGGAGGGACCGCAAAGACTTCACATCCCAATGAAACGATTTTGATCGATCTATAGCAACATGATAGATCATGAGGGATTTTTTGCGGGCCCAGTGATGTTTGCAAATGACCGTTCCCACTTATTTCTGGGTGTGTCTTAAAGACTTAGGGCCGGGCAAACATGATACTATCATCCTGACGTGCTGGTTGATGAACATGTTCCGCGCGGTGGGCATCCCCAAAATAGAAATTGCATCAAGATCTTCTCAAGTCCAACCTTTTTGGTTGGATGTGCAAGGAAGAACTCCTGCCGTTCGCAAGAATGGCACACAAGACACCTGACAAAATGATCTATGTACCCAAACTTATCATAACAGCCGCAAGCATCTCTGCTGGTTGGACGGAGCATCAGAATTCCCTCTCCAAGTGCTTCTCTGTGGAAGGATCATACAGCTGGAGCATGCAGGAGCTGCTTGGGAACATGGTCAAAGGGCTCATGGGACAAGCCTTGCATCTGAAGAAGCATTATACAAATGAGATTCATGGGCTATCAAGGAGGCAACTGCAAATGACCTAGTTTGGAAGGGCACGATCGGCACGATGATTTCTTCTTGCGAAACAAGGATGTATGGACTTCCTTCGAAGGTACAGTAGCATTTGTGACTGGCTACCGCGTTTGCATGGGGTTCCACTTGATCTGCACTCCAGAACAGTCTATTGGTCCACCAATGTACTGGGACCTCAGCAGGGCATCTTGGAAAGGACCGTCCTTGAGATGTGACTACAGTGCAGCACTCCAGTACGGCCGCAGCGCTCCAATCCGGCCGCAGACTTCTGCTCGTACGGCTCGGACGTGATCTACACTCAGATTGAGATCCCAGTGGATCTCAACCAGACTACAGTGCTCAGCTTGGTCTTCTCCAAGGCACCGTACTTGATGAACCGGAGCCACGACAGCTTCTTATAATGTCCAGTCCTCTTCAATCCTGCACACATGACATCTAAGCGGAGTGTATTGTGGTGCCATTTCCGTCAGCATTTTGCCGTGCTGATGCCCTGGATTTGCCAGGACCCCTGGAGTTTGTGCGGCTCTGCCTGATGGAGACTTTTGGCAACATGAGATCGTCCATGCCCGCCGGGAGGACTGCGGGCCATTGCAACACTTGTATCAACTGGGGAGGTTCTCCCATGGGGCCAAACATGGTGCTCAAACAGCGACTGAATGTGCACCCAATCCACTTCTTCAGGTTTCCCCGTATTAAGATAAAGGACGATAAACACCTTGCCACGCTCTATTCCAGTGGACGATAATAGCCAATAAACACGTGACCCCCTCCACTCCAGGCTGCATGTGAAGGGATAAAAAACACCACTTGGTTTTGAATGCGCACCGATTCGTGTCTCCGGAGCACATCAATCATTCGAACCTGGAAGGGCAACCTGAGATTGCAGAAGTATCTGTCCCCACAGGAAAAGCCACCTTCCTTTAATTGTTAGTTCATTAATAGAACAGGACGAGCCTCAAATCTTGGACCAGCCGGCTATGGCGGGGGGTCTATATTATGTGTCAGGAGCCAACAAATCAGCTTGGACTAGCCTTCAAGCCGCGAGGGTGTTGTAGGGCCTAGGGATCCAGTCGTACCTTCTCAGAAGGTGATTGGAGACACTGTTATGTAGGTTTGGAGGGTCCAGTCGTACCTTCTGAAGGTACGACTGGATGCCTAGGGTACGTAGCCTTCTGAAGGCATTGAACGAAAACCAAAGCCCACACATCCAGTGCTCCCAGGAACTTCGCATCCAGCCTCACAAATCTCGTTGTCCCCCTGTGAGGGCGGGGATCGGGTCGAGTACTCAAAGGTCCAGATATGTGGGGAAAAACCTGACAAATGACGAACAGTGTTAAACTTGCTTACCGTATGTTTGGGGTGTGGCTAGTATGGCCCTCTTCTTCCAAAGGTGTCTTTCGAGTGAAATTGAAACGGTTCTTCGATCGCAAGCCCCTTCCGAACCGCATCTGTCACCTTCGACCAAGCTGATGCTTTGTTTACAGTATTTTCGCTCCCTACCTCTGGACTCTGCACCTATCGCTCGCTAAGAAGTCCGACCAGCAGACCGGCGGATCCCACAGCTCTGCGGATCCCGTCGGGAACACCCATCGTGGCAGTCGGACGACTGAGGACGAGTGACGACTGGACCGTGGCCCAAACCCGCCCGACCTAGGACATGTATCTAATCTATCTACCTGTGTTTTGGATGTGTTTTTGTTGGCGGCTTGCGGCTGGCAGTTCAGCATGTCTAGTTTGGGCTCGAGCGCTTGAACACTGGTTTTCCCAAAGAGCTCATCATCTTCAACGTCCCCATTTTCCCAGCTTCCATCCACTCAAATCGACCTCCTCGCCCAAAGACTGTCCAAAGCTTTCCTTGGAGAGGCTGAACCTAGCTGCTCGAGCGGTGGTGATCCATCCAAGAGGGCGCTTCGTTGACCACAAGCTTGGGATGAGACCTGTATCTTTCGGACCCTCGTGTTGGCATTACTTGGGTCTATCAAGCAGCTTATTTAGGAAGCACATGGAAATAACGTCAAACACACCAATTGGACAAGCGTACACTCCCTGCTTCTGTGATGCAGGACCTTGCAACCAGTGGGTTCTCAGTCATTGAATGGAAAACATATGATAAGTTCATTATCATTTTCTTGCCCTACCACAGCTTCGGGAAGGACTTCCAGGTTCTTGGGCCTCTGGCACAACATCCCACAGGCCCCCTTCATGTTTACACACATTTACACAATGCGTGGTTTGCAAGCAAAGGAAGAGTACTTGGAACTCGTTGCGTTACGTTGTGTCCTGCGCACCTCCTGTTGGGCGAACATCCAGACCCAGACATTAGCCAGTACGCTACATCCACTTCAGTGGCTAGTCAAAGAAACTGCCACCCACAAACATCCCATGCTTTCAGAGATCTTCAGAGAACAAGAAAACCACTGGGCCCTCCCGACCCACGCTTGAAGAGTTTCTTCCTCATGCATGTGGTCGCTGTGGGCCGCATCGCCTCACAAACGCCACGTGCCCCCCAGGACGAAAAGAAAGCGGGTCCCTTGGGCGGACTTCAGTTGGGTGTCGAGTTCTGGAAGAAGGTTTCTCGGGTTCTGCCACTGTGGAGTAGTGTTTCTCAGGCAGGCTTTCTCTGGACCAAGCAAGTGCCAAGTGATCTATAACAGAGAAGTCGATGCCCCTCCAGAATGCATCCTTGTTTAAAACGGTGGGGTGGCACGGTGGCATTGTGTTCAGTTTTCACACAGCCACTGCACAATGATGAAACAATATTTGCTTTATGATATACCATCAGGAGGCCGATTTCTCAGCAACATGCAGGTTACAAACTGAAAACAGGTTGGTTCTTGGTATCCCAAGAAGCAAAACACATCCACAAAAAACATCCGTGGTTTCCACTTGGTGATGTTGATGCTTTCTTTTGGTCGACTACGTCAGGTTGCCATCACATAGACTCAAACAATCCCCAGCGCTGGCAAACCAAATCAATTTGCTGCACAATTGTCCTCAGGGTGACCAACTTCCCTGTCTGCGCGCTCATCAGTGTGATTTCCACCCAGGGGAGTCCAGCTTGTAAAAAAACACACCACCTATGATTCCACTTGGTTTCCCAGCTGGATTGATGTGCAAAAGCTTCTTCAGCAGTGACTTCAACCTCGGGCTGATGTTGCGCTGGAAATGTGGCGTGGTGTTCAGACTTTTCCAAAGACTTCTCTCAAGTCGAATCGATGGTTTTTGTTGCGTGGTTTCGTTTTCCAACCTCTCTGTTGTGCATGGACGGCACGGAATAAAGAAGAAAAGGCAGGGAACTATCTCCCTGGTTACAAGTCCAGTCTGACCCAGTAAAGCCTGGTCTTTTCCGTCCTCTACTACTACGTAGTGTTTTGGCATGACCAACTCCAGTGAAGTGAGTTGAGATCTTTGTCCTGTAGGGCCTGAATTTTTGCTTGAAACAGGTACACTCCCTGGAACTAACATGGAAGTGGAGAATGGGCCCCTTGGAAAGCCATGAAATCCGCTAAAACCAGGTGGTTTTCCACTTCCATGTTATTTCCAGGGAAAGTATTCTTTCTCCAAGTCTGAGCCTTCTGGCTCATTCCCGACGGCAGGCGCAATCTCCTTCTGCACCTGGCTGCTGATTTGGGCAACTCATGTGGGGTTGTAAAGAACCCTAGGAAAGTTGCCACTGCCAAAGCCGCGTTATGGTTTTTTTCCTATTATCGCTTTTCATGGGTTTGGGATATATAGTATATGGAAAATTTAATCGTTTTTTTTCAAGGGTTTGGGGCATGTAGGGTCAATCGAAGGTAGTCCTGCCCAGGCCCTTCCCAAGCTGCAAGCAGCTGCAGCACATTTTCACTCGACTCCACTCACTGCCCAGGAACAAAACGGCACAGTGATGCGAGCTACGACTGTGACCAGAGCTTGAGATGAACACAGTGTCCTCAAGCATGTTTCAAAAACATCTGCCATCATGTTGTGACAGATTCGTTTTAACATGCAAGAAAAAACTTGGAAAGCAACTGAGACAAAATCTGTGATCATCAACAAGCCACGCAAGAACTCACCATGAAGCCATGCCGCTCACGAGGAGGCTGCATACTGGCAACGCAACCCTTTATTTGGCAGAACTTCGGGCACAAGGCAGCCATGAGCAAGTGAAGGAGAAACACAGAGGACCTTCTTTGAATGCTGTCATGCCAGCGGAGGGATGCACAGAGAAATGCAAGACATCTCAGAAAAGGTGCAATGTCATTAATCGATATTATATAATCGCTATTTTTTCCAATTACCGTTTTGTGGTGCTTTTGGTCACCTCGGATACTTTAGGTCCAGCCCTTACTAAATTGCAAGCAGGGGGGCTGTTACAAATCCCCATGTGCTCCAAGCCATGATTATCCCAAGCTGTGTTTAGTTGGTCAGACTTTGGAGGACTGAACGTACTGCTATGAGGTACATCTTTCTGTGCAAACAATAATATTGTTGAACGCAGGCGATACGTTGGATCATGCTGTAATTGGTAGAGGTGCTGCAGTCCCCCAAGAGACTGCCTGGAAAAAACAAAAACAAGACTACTCTTTCTCACTGTGATGTCACTTGGTTCCGTCTGTTGCTCTGAGCTTTCTGGAGTCTGTGACTGCTCTTCTTGTTCAATAGTGCTGTCCCCCGGTTTCCACCCGATTGCTTGACTGCATTCGGGCCTTTGGGGTATAGGAACTCTTCCTGTTGGCCCAGGTAGTCTTCGTTTGCCCTGGTTGGCACTGGTCACCGGTGCGGTCTTACTTTTCCTTTCCCAATACAAAGCATGGGCAGCTTGCCGCATCTTGCCGCATGGAATTTCTCACCCAAGAAAGGCCTCCATTTTGTTCAGGAGTCTCAAACACCTTGCCTGGAATCCGTTGACTACAATCATGCACTTTTGATGGAAGCTCCCAGTTTCCATGCACAAGCACACCTTCTGCCCCCACGAAACAAACCCCCGCACCAGCTTCTGAACGCTGTGGGAGTCTGCCATGACCTCAGCGGGCGGTGCAGTTTGGGTTTCCATTCGAAAGTCTTCTGAAGGCGATTTATGGAAAGCTTCCTTGTTCTCATGGATGGTGGCTAGTAATCCCTAGGGCTCCTGGCCCACCTCCGTTTCGGTTCGGTGGGCCAGGGGTGGGTTTGGGGGGTCCAACCTTCTGGGCATATGGCTGGAGCCCTAGGGAATATTCCAGGATCAAACTGGTTGGAGAGGCTCTTGTTGTGGCCGACCACACATATGCATATTTCTTTGCATATGCTCTGGCAAGCCTGCGTCGTCTGCTGCAGTGGCTTGCCACTGCTGCATAGACTTGCCATGACTTGCCCATATGGTGAAACTGCAACGGACCATGCACGAGCTCTCGAGGGAGTCATGAAAGATGCTTTTGAAGGTCCAATATCCAACCCTAGGGATCCACATACCTTCTCAGATGGTACTTGGAGCCTCCAAGCCTGCATAAAGAGTATCCAATCACCTTCTCAGAAGATATGTGGATCCATAGGGCAAGTTGTCACTGGTTGCCTGGGCCCTCAGAGGAACTTTGACGAGAGGAACAGGGTGACCCAAGGGCCGGATTGACTAGATCTAGGTGGGTTTGCACGGCTATATTTCATGGGTGTGGCACTGCTGCGAACCCACCGAAAGGAACAACATTGACTCCATTTTTTTACTGATCTCGAAGTTGTGCCCACGTACCCTGCCAACTCTCAGCACAAACCCGGTTTGTTATGGAGAACCGGGGCCAACTTGTGAAATATATGGAATCCACTATGGAATCCATAATGAATTCACGTGTTAATATATAATTCCAAAGTCCAGTGGTAGAAGATGGTAGGAGTATGGTATGTGTTTTTCCACCGCCAAACCTCCCCAAGTTTCTCAATGGCTCAGCCCGTTCTCTGCTTTTCCCAATGCTCACGAGCCACAAGGGCTCCCAGGATGCCATCGAGCTCCCACATAAATTGCCCAGTGCAAAGCCTTGGCTCAACAGTGCGGAGCCTTGGCAAGCGAATTTGCGATGGGAGGGGGAGACAAACCAATGAATGCCATCGAACGAAGGAATCACGGGTCCCATGTGCCTGGGCCGTCGTTTTTGTTCGAGAAACAACGAGCAAAGCCGACGCACGGTGCCGTGTGCCGGACGCGCTAGCACTCGACAGGTCGACCAGGTGGCTCGTAGAGGATGCACCCCAAAGACCACATGTCCGCGGGCTTCCCATACCTCCGGCACTGGATGAAACGCCTTTTCTCTTGTGGACTGCTGGTGTGGGTGCTGGCAAGAGCAGTCGACCATAAATTTCCACATTCCTTTTGGCTATGCAGTTATGCAGCTAGTTGATGCTAGTTGTGCAGTCAGTGCCATCTGGGTTGTCTTTGGGCTTCAAATCTGACCTTACCACCTCCCCGCCGCGATGGAGGCCCCATGTTTTTTTTAGCTTCCATGTGGACCGAACACGATCCGTTGATTTCCGTTGTAACGCCCCCAAACAGCGCTGACAGCGCAGTCTTCGCCTCGAGGAAGACAACATCTCAGGTGCCATGTAGCAATCCGTTCCTCTCCGCGAGCGGGCCATGCGGCGCCGTGTCTGCCGTGGGGAAGGCAACCGAACACGTGAGGGTTAGGCGCGAGGGTCTTCGCGGATGTCAAGCGAGGGATGTCTACGGAATACAAACTCTGTCAACCTGCACTTGGCCAAGAAAAGTAATACATGATTTACATATTTCACTGAGCAAGGGTTGAAAGCTGGGAACACTTCAAAAACCACCCACAAACATGTTAACATGTTATGTTGGGCTTCGTTGGATGGTCAAGCAATCTTCTGGTGACACTGAACATGTTCTGATCCCATCATGACGCATGGCCTATGGATCATCCTCGGACATGGACACGCACCCATGTTGAATGGTTTTGATTGATCCAACATGATCAACCCCCTCATATATATACAGTATACATATATATATATTATGGAGATGTAATTAGGTCCCATGGTAAAAACACGACATCTTCAACATGACCTTTCATCCACCAGTGAACCCCCCAAGCTCGGAACTCGGTCCTGCGTGCGTCAGGGTGGACGTCCCGGTGCACCGGTGCGTGTGCCTCGGGACGTCCAAGTGACGCGTGTTGCTATAGCTTGGAGTGACGCGCAACGCGCCGACTGATCCATGGGTTTAACATGGTTTAACTATTATAATGTGAGTTCCATATCTAAGTTCTATTCGTTCTGGCAGACATTGAGACTTTGAATCACGCACATGAAAAATCATGAATGCAAACAACAATACACACGTCCTGCATGACCAACAGCTCCAATATAGAGCAGACCAGCACCTTGCTGCCTGTGTCTATTTTCTGCCATTCACTGGCAGATTGGACAGCCATGCACTTGGGAGCAGCATTGTCTCCTGTAAAACCACGTTTCACCGTTTCGCGTTGATTTGATAGAACATCGGACAACCCCAAAAGCCAACTGGCAGTCAAATAGAAACTACTTCCCTAAAAACAACATCATGGATGCAACGATGCCATCCCTCCTGGATGGATGCCCCCCTCCGCTCACCTTACCTCCTTTCTTTTCAGTCACATCCGTCGGTCACGAGGAGTTCGTCCGGCTTCGGCACCGGCCGAGCGCAGGTGGCGGTCTGCGTCCGGTCTGCGTCGGGCGTCCGCACCGGCAGAGCCCAAAGTCCCCCAGGCGCACGTGGCCCTCCTCGGAGAGGAACACGTTCTGCGACCTGACGCGGAGCAGTCATGGTGGGTGGAGCAAGCGCATGAAAGTGAACCAGGAAAGTGAACCTGAACATGGCCCAAATGATGAGATTGTATACCTTAAGATACCTTAAGTACTATACAAGTATTATAAGTATAGAAGGCCTACAATCTCATCATTGGGGCATGTATAGAAGGCTGACCATGAGATCAGTCAGGATTGTATACTTATGATGTACTAAAAGTAATAAAGTATTATATAATCCTGACTGATGCAACGCTGGAAATCAAAATGAACCAAGGCCGCCAGCTGTCTCAATGGCTCTAAATCATGATCGACCCAATCAGTGCAAGTTCCACGGGCCAGTCACATCACACCAATCAGAATCGTCTTTGTCCATGAGATTCTATGAGCAAAGAACAGCATCTCAAGTCTGAAGTTGGGCTTTAGTCTGAACAGCACTGAAGGTTGGAAGACAGAAACTGTAAAACATTGTGTGCAATCACGTGTGTCAAGGTTTCTGGAGACGAGAAAGCCACAAGCATGAACGTGGCAACATGGCAAAAAAAAGGTTTTGCTTCTTGGCCTCAACTTCGGTTCACGCATTTTGTTGACCAAATTTCTGGTGGAGGCACGTCATTTAACACAGAACGACGTGCCATTATAAGGCAACAGGCAGACATCAGACGCTCTGATGGCAGCATCAAAGGCTCTGAGGCGTCTCATGCTCTTTCGGAACTCGCCACCGGAACTCGATCGAACCTCTTTGAGGACCTTCAGTACGTGACCGAACTTGAGATCCCAGTGGCTGAGGTCACTTATATCGTCCCGGAAGAGGTCACTTACAAACTCCAAAGAGCTCCTGGAATTTCCTTCCTGTTCACTTTCAATTCTGGAGAAGGTACTGATCTTGTGTCGCTTTCTCAGCCTGCTTTGTCAAACAGGACGTCAAATTAGGACTAGCAGTCACGTCCAGTTCCTCGGTTCTCCGCCAAGTCACTTCAAGTCCCTGTGGATCACGTTTTTGCTGTGCAGGTACTGGACAGCCTGCAGAAAGCCGCCGGCAGCACCACTTTGATGGGTACCGTTCTCCAGAAGATCGAGGCACAGAAAACCCTTTTGCAGTCTCAGAGGTGTCAACACACCTGCTAAAATAATGGTGACACATTGGGATTCATCCGGTATCGTTGGAGAAACCGCCAACCAGGCCTCAAAAAAACCAGCAGCTTTACTAATCTTCAGGACTGGACAACTGACAACTCGAACCGGCTTGAAGCGGATGCATCGCTGCATTCCGCATGGTTTCACACGGAAGTTCAGCTTCTTGGTAAATCGTCCACGGTGGAGGTCCACATTGCCATCCGTCCTGCCTGAAGCAGCTGAGCGAAGATGGTCCGCACCCAGTCCTGACATCAGCGAGCGCGAGCTGCGAAGCATTGCACATCGGAGGTCAAACGGGAAAAACAAATTAGGATTACAGGGTCTACTGGTGTACCAACATTGGTCCTTGTTTTTCACATTGGGTGTTTAAAGAAGAACCTCCTCCAAATTCAAACTGCTCAATAGGCTTTGAGCGACCCCTCCTGGCACCTCCGTGGAATGTTCCACGGGCATCGGTCGACCCCGCAGTGCCGCGACTCGAAGCGGACGCAGAACGGGCGGACCGGGGGGGGGTGGGTCGGTGAAGGCCGGGGGGTGGGTCGGGCCACGCGGCCATGCCTCGGTGAAGTTCAAGAAATCTTGTTCGATCTTCTCCTGGTGAATCAGAGGGCCTCGAGTTCTTTTTTTTTGCGGTGTAGACTGTGGTTTTGAGCGTTGGTGGTGTTGCAATACAACCCGGTTTTTCAATGCCCAAAGTTGCAAGAATCAGATTGGACACCGTGGAACATTGGTCCCCTCCATGTTCACATTCATATGTGTAAAAATGTTAACTGACTCGCCATGCGATCAATTGCCTCATGGCTCATGGTGACATCGTTCTTTAAATATATGATACATGTGGACCAACCATCACAATCAGGTTCGCAATGATCCTCCTTCTTTGAAAGACACATTAAAAAAAGAAAGCCCAACGGTCTCCCACATCTCCGCAAGATGCCTCGAACAGCGTTGAAAGCGCCGTTTTCAGTTGAGATGGAACCTTTCAGACTCGAACATCAACATACCTCGAACCCACGTGAGGGCAGCTCTGCGAAACCCATCGGACGATAAGACTAGGGACTGTGAACATGTTCAACTGAGTTGGATAATTTGCAATGGAGAAGCTGTTGGCTCAAAAAACCGGGAGCAATGGAACCCTGCTCGTCAAAGTTCAACCTCCAATAGGCAGGGTGATGATCCCTATCTATCCGTCAGAGATCAAGTTGTTCTGCACACAGAAACGGACCTCATTCTGGGAAGTGGGAAGCAGGGAAGCATCCAGGGCCACCTGCCAAAAAACATGCAACACCTCGATTCGCACAGGGCGACTGACTGGCCCCCTTTGAGGCCACACGGCCAGATCCCGCCTTTAGATCGCCTTCAGGGCAGAACTCCATGATGATGATGAAGTACCTCACAGCTTGGGTGAACATATATTGACAAATCACAGCTACGGTGAAGATTGCTCTGCTGGACCAATGTGTTTGTTGTTGGATTAAACAAATAGTAGGTATTGGTAGGTGTCCTTAGTGTATGAAAGGAGGTGAAGGTCCCATAGAATGAACAGTTCATCGTCTTCAACGCATTGATTGGACCTCGGGACCTCTATCAACGCTCTCGGCATATGAAGGCGCGTGCTGAGTGGCATGTGGAGTCCCTAGCACTTGGGCTACCGCTTGGTGCAAGTGTAGCTCACGGAAGTTAAAACGGAAGTACACAAGTTGAGGATTCAGCTTCAAACATAAACCCATTTGTGTTCATTTGTCCGATTTGTTCACCTTCAACCATAAACCCTTTATGTCCGATTTGTTCATTGGTGAAAGGTTAGATGTCAGTGGATGTCAACACAAACACACACACGCACACACCTCAGGTGTTCTATATATGGGAAAAAAACTAAAACATTTTGTGGGGAAGGGCCACACATCAAAAACCAACGTGAAAATCAGCCACCCTCAACACCTGGCACATTTGCACAGTTCCACAAACGGTAAGAAAAACGGAACACCTGGACTTGGACCAAACGTTTGCTTTACCCACGGTTTTCTCGGATCAATCAGTCAATCAGTCAACCTGAGAATTGCATCAAGGTGGCACCACTGGAACCAGTGTACTTGGAGACAACCCAAGAAAACACTTGGCCACACTCTCTCAGCACTTTTCTCTCGCTGTCCAAGGTCTTTACGCTGTTTCCGCGTCTTTCGCTTGCAACTCGCGAAAGAGCTGAGTTTGTGCATCGGAGAGTTTGGGTGAATTTATATACGCGTGTTGACATTGGCATTCTCTGCACACATCGGTAACTATACGTATATAAAAAATGTATGTATATATCTAATAACTATTATACAAATATGTGTTATATATATTATGCAACATGTGCATTTCATATTGAGAATCTTCCACATGTCCAAACGATCCGTCAATCTGTAGTAATAGGTATTTCACCAAGCTAGCAATACACAGTAAGCATCGAAATACAACTTCGGTATACAAACACTGGCTGCAAAAACTCTATACCTTTCAAAGCAAAGTAGCCCTTACACTCCCTAATACAGTGATGAAATCTAAGACTTAGCAAGTATCGGACCCCCAATGCAATTTGAAGCAACTTCAGGTTGCTAAGCAGGGCACCGAAGCACTCTTCAGCAGCAGGCGCGAGCAAAGGCCAAAAGTGTGGCTCTGAGACAAAGCAGTGGCCAAAGTCCATCTGGAAAAACCTAAGTCATCTGCATCGGTCTTTGGGTCTGGACCTGGGTCCTTTGTCGAAAAAGATCGACTTTCCCAGGGGACTTGAGATCGAATGAGGCCGACCTCAAAGCTCTTGAAGAGGTCTCTTACAACTCCTGGAGGATTCCGGGACATGTATTTTTCTATGTCTCCGAGTCTCAAGTCTGGTTGAGATCGTGACATGACACGGCACCTCAAACAAAGAACAAGTGGTGTTCGGTCAACCCGTGTGATTCCGATAAAAATTGTTCCATCTGCCTGCCGAGTAGTCGTCGACATACACCCTTTTAAACAGGGTTCAGGTCCGCAATCTGTCCACACATATATGTATACTTATATAGTCTGCTTACTCAGCCAAGACTCTGGAAAGGGGTGGGCCAGGGGCCATTACCAGTGCACATGCTTGATCTCTCCACCCATACAGGCTTTGTTCCATTGAATCACATCAAGAGCGTGGGGAATTTAGTGAATGTCAACCTATTAATGGCTTGGTGAGGATCGCGAACTCTCACAGTGGATCACATTGAGACTCTCTTTGGCCGCCTGAATTCGACTACCTAAGCTGCCAAAGTTCAATAGCTGAAAGTCGTGTTCACATGGGGGCCCGCTGCATATTCTTTACTTTTGGCACACACAGCTGGTCAATGAAGGACACATTGACCAAACAAGTCTTGGCGCCAAATTGCAAGAGGCATCACTAGCGCTGCACCGTTTTCAGCTGATCTCCGAGCTTCAAGCCATGCTTGAAACAAAAGACATGTTGCAAGTCAGCCTCGGAAGGGTCCACGCTGGAATCTGGCAATGTTTGCTCGCGCGGATCTAGCGCAGTGCTAGCGCGCGGCTAGCGCATTTTTTAGCCAGCCACTTTTCAAAAACCTGACGACGTTCTGAACATGTCCTAAGGCAAACACTAGCGTCACTAGGGCAAGTCTACCGCAAACCTAGCGCCCAGCTGCAGAATAGGTGTGTTTAGCTGGGGGCCCGCTACATACTCTAATTGAAAAGCAACATCATAAGCTACTTTCGACCCCTTTATCTATTTCTTTTATTATAGACTTTTGGCCGGCTCCATATATAGAATGAGCTTAGCGTAACATGCCAATAACATCCATGATACAAGTAGGTCAAACGCAACGTCAACAGTAACACTATATTGGACATGTTAAAGCAAAAACATATTCCTATTCAAGCACTTTGAAAGGGGTAGCATGGTACGAAGGTGACTGGATACTTGAATTCATGCTTTCAGCCTCTCTTTGCCTCAAACGCCGACCGGTCAAAACGCTGCACTTCTCACTCTCAGGAGATCTCGCGCCTTACGCACAAAGGCATCACGTGTGTGTAAAATGGTGTGACTTGGGTCGCCAGTGACAATGCAACCGGTAATGAAACTGAGCTGCAATCATCCAAAACTCCAGTCGATGTTGTTGACAATGATGATGTCACTGGATGATGATGATGATGATGATGATGATGATGATGATGATGATGATG